TCCAGACTTCTCAGCAGCACCAGCTCCCCATACCAACAAAGATGTTGTTTCCGCCGAGAACTAAGAAAAAATAATATTTTATTAAAATTCTCTCTCTCCGTCCCCCTCTCTCTCTCACTCTCTCTTAAAAAAAAAAAAAAAAAGGCAAGTAGAGATGAAATATAGCCTCTAGGGCTGGGGTTGTGGTTCAGTGGTAGAGCATTTGCCTTCCATGTGTGGGGCACTGGGTTTGATCCTCAGCACCACATAAATGAATAAAATAAAGATATTGTGTACATCTAAAAAAATTAAAAAAAAAAACTCCCTGGAACAAGATGCCAGTTCAGCCAGCATGCTTTTTTTTAATATTTATTTTTTAGTTCTCGGCGGACACAACATCTTTGTTGGTATGTGGTGCTGAGGATCCAACCCGGGCTGCACGCATGCCAGGCGAGCGCGCTACCACTTAAGCCACATCCCCAGCCCCTAAAAAAATTTTAAATATTAAAAATAAAAAAGTTTAGGGCTAGGGATATAGCTCAGTTGGTAGAGTGCTTGCTCCACATGCACAAGGCCCTGGGTTCAATCCTCAGCATCACAAAAAAAAAAGAAAGAAAGAAAGAAATACAGCATCTAGAAGGTTGCCTTGATGAAGAGTGAGCCACAGCCTGAGCTGTGTACTGAGCGCAGAATGATGGAGAAGGGGAGGCTGGGAAGGGTGATGCTTTGGGGTGCTGGTCATAGTTGGAGGGGAAGCGCCTACATAGGGTTTGTGTGGTGGTGTTTGGTTAGTGGTACATTTCCTAAGCATAGGGCCTCATAGGGGAAACAAGGGCAGGAAGGGCAGGACCACTGGGGGAGATCTAGGCGTCCTTAGCAGGGAATCTGGGGCCAAGTTTAGTACAGGACTGGTCAGGGGATGGCAGGAGATAAAGAATCTGCCAAGGGAACTGCCTGCCAGATTCCCTGTTAATAACCCCACTTTTGCAGTGGAATGTGGTGCAGAAAGCCTTTCCTCAGGAGGGGTACAGCAACTATTCCCAACTTCTCACCTTATGCCTGCCCTGGGCGCACACTGTGACCATTCATTTCATCCCCTGTAAAATGGGAATAGTAGCCACTGATCCCTGCCTGGGATTAGTGTTGTACTCATCTTGCACATGAGGAAACAGGTTGAGAAAGATCACACAGCAGAAAGCAGCAGGGCCTGAGCCCTGTGCCGCTCACGGCTCCTTCAACAGCCAAGACAAATCTCAGCAGCCTTCCAACGCACTCACCTGTGGACATCCTGCAGGCATGGGGTCTGCAGGGACACCAGGAAACCAGCTGCTCTTAGAGGCGATACGTTCAGAGCCAAGTGGGCAGAATCGGGGGGCAGATGCCTCAGTGTGAATCACATTTTCTGTGGGTGAGTTGTTTTGCCTCCTTTCTTTTGTCTGAAAAGTAAGATAATAAAAATGACTGACTACAAGCCGAATGCAGTGGCCACACTGGTAATTCAGCTATTAAAGAGGCTGAGGCAGGAGGATCTCAAGTTCAAGGCCAGCCTGGACAATTTAGCAAGACCCTGTCTCAAAATAAAAAAAAAAAAAAAAAAAGAGGGGCTGGGGCTGGGGCTGTAGCTCAGTGGCAGAGCACTTGCTATGCTACAGTGAGGCACTAGGTTCGATCCTCAGCATCACATAAAAATAAAAATATAAAATAAAGGCATTCTGTCTATCTACAACTACCAAAGAAAAAGAAAGAAAAGGAAAAAGACAGGGCTTGGGGTGCAGCTCAGTGGTAGAGCACTTGCCTAGCATGCCCAAGGTCCTAGTTTCAATCCCTAGCACCACAAGAAAACAAAAAATAACTCTATACATGTTCACTGTCCTGGTCATTAGTCCCAGATAAATAGCACACTGGAGGGGAGACACAAAGTCTTGAAAGGGAAGTTGTGAGAAAATACTTGTGGCCTGAATGCAGAATAAAAAGGCAGTGACTGGAAAGACTCATGATAGAAATGACTTAGTAACTAGAAATCTTCAGAAGGGGCCTGGGGGGATGAAGATGATCCATGAAGGCAGGAAAAAGAAAACCTCAAACATTGTGCCTTAGACAAGGTAGAGCACCCAAATCTCAGTGAGGACCACAAAAGCTGGAATCACACTCAGCATGAGGAAAGTATTTTTCCAGTCTCACAATGCGTTCAGCTAAACACGTTTTTATTTGCTCCAGGAAACTGAGGGTTCTTTATTCATTCTGTAAAATTTTTCTTTCTTTCTTTCTTTTTTTTTTTTCTTTTGTGGTGCTGAGGATTAAACCCAGGGCCTTGTGCATGCAAGGCAAGCACTCTACCAACTGAGCTATATCCCCAGCCCCCACTGTAATATTTTTTATTATTGAGAGAAGAATGTTTCTTTCCTTTCATGAAAGAGAAATATTTCTCAATTACTAAGTTGAATATGAAGTTATAAAAATCCTCTGGCTCTATGTATTTGAGTAAGATTCTGTTCTCAAGTCATGAGGGTCAGAGTGAGGAAGGATTTCGGATTCCAGGCACTGCTGGTGGGAATTTATTGGTGCAGCTGTGGTGAAGGACACATCAGTGATATCTGTTAAACCCTTATAAACCTTTGCCTCAGTAATTCTACTCCTAGAAATTTATCCTAAACAAACTCATGTTCAATCATACAAAGATTTTTATAAGGGGGGAACCAAGAGAATCAGGTGCAACACTTAACTGTTGCAGATCATCGACCTTAGAGAAATTCCAATTGTCTTTATCCTGGCCAGATCATGTCTGTAGGTGGCCGGGGAAGTCTCTAGAAAAGGGGATCATTGTGATCATGTTCCATTATTGGCACTCTGAATATGTGTGACAGTTACTGGAAGAGAATCCTGATGTCACTGTGGGTCCCCAGGTGAGACAGCGCCACTTCACAGAGAGAGTCCAGACACCTGTAGGATCTCAGCTGTGTAAAATAAAAGACTCACTCCTCCCATTTGCACTTAGGCACTAGTTCCTCTTTTGCACAGCTGGATATTTGCAATTATGTTCTGTGTCGGGCAATCTGCAAAATAATAAAACAGAGGGGAAGAAAAGATTTGTATGAGGTTGTATGATTGTTAGAGTTTGGACTCTAAAGCCAGACAGTCTGGATTTTGTATGCTAGTCCTGCTGCTAATGAGCTGTATGGCCTCGGGAAAATCACTTATTCTCTTTGTGCCTCAGTTGT